CCCCCCCTTCGCCCCCCTCCCCCCTCCCGAGCCCTCCCGCGCAGGTGCAGAACGAGGGAGCGCGGGGAGAGGGACGCACAACATCACACGAGACGCCTCGCAACCGCGTGCGAGGGACGCGCGGACACCGAGCCCCACTTCCCGAGCCGGGGTGGGGGACGGCGCGGCGAGAGAGACCCCGGGAGGGGACGCACAACCCTCCCCCCCCGCCCCCCACGGCAGACAGACGCACGATGCACCCCGACAGTCTGGAAGGGGCCGGAAAGGGAGAGCCAGGACGTTTGGACTGGGCGCCAGAACAGGGAGAGACACCCCTCCCCGCAAAGAAGTCCAGGCGGAGGGACATCCGCGCACCACGGCTCCCCGCCAGAGAGCCGCAGACCCCCGGGGAAAGGACAGAGGGCAGCGGAGGCCAAGAGGGGTGACAGGCGGCGGGACGGCACAGCTCCGGCAGGGAGGCAGGGTCACAACACGGGCCAGGCCACCCCAGACAGGGCCGGGGAGAGCGGAGGGTGGGGGGTGGGGAGGAGAAGCTCAGACATGCCGCGCGCAGGGCAGCGCATGCCAGCGGGCAGGAGGGGAGGAAGAGGGGGGCCACGCACTTGACAAGCAGAGGAAAGAGGAGGAAGAAGCTGAGCGACTACCCTCATCCAGCTGGTAGAGCAAACGACCCCCAAACCAAAGCCAAGGGGAGACCCAGAGAGACACTGACAAGAGACGAGAAGCGGGGGCTGATGGGGAGACTCCGGATGGTGGGGGGGGACCTCGATACTCACCCAGTGCCCAGAGCCGGAGACGTGCCAGGCGAACACGCACAATGGTCAAGCGCCTCGGACACTTGGGGCGCAGGGTGGCACCCCAGTCCCACCCTCTCTTCCCATATTGTCACTTCTCTTCTCTCCCCCCCACCCCCGGCCCTCTCCCGCCCCGATTCATCCCCACTGGCCAGAACACAGACACGTAGGTTTGGACACATTTAATGGAAGGATGCTACGAACAAGGAGACCCTTCCCTGGATCAGGGGGAGCGGTGTGGGGGGGGATGTCATCTTTCAGATGCCCAGTTATGACCATCCCTCCCCCACAGCCTGGCCCTTCTGGAAGCTCAAGCCCTGGAGTCCTCCCCTCTTCCTCCCTCCCCTCCCCCAGCACCCCAGGTCCTGAATTCCAGATCAATTGGACAGACACAAATGCATGCACACAACTTTATGCGTTAATGCGCACACACAGCGACGTGCATGAAGAGGGACAGGCATGTGCAGAGACCCACCGCCGGTCCCCAGGTGGTAAGCAGAAACACTGGACATCTCTGGAAAACACTGGCCCTCATTCTCAGACACACGGATTCGAGGAAAGAGAGGTGCAGAGAGAGACAGCTACACAGTGAGCCACAATCGTGCACCAGAAATGACAGCCACAAATGCACCCATCTGTACCGAGTGGGACACACCCTCTCGCTGTCACGGGCATGTGCACGGGGCTAGAACTCCAAGGGCCTCCGGCCACACATGCACACAGACACGTGTCATGCATACCTACAGAGGCACACGGGCAAGAACACGCCTGGGGAATCTGTACAGGGATGCTCGCTGACTGTGTGAGACGGTCACGCACAGGGGGACTGTAGCTCTGGGGGTACACACGCACATCCATACGCCCCCAGGCACCCCTTCCTTCCCATTCCTGACCCCGTTCCCTCCCTTCCCCTCCCCTCTCACCTCCCTGGGCCAATCCCATCCATCAAGCTTCAGAAGCAAGTCAGCCAGCAGCCAGGGAGGGGAAAGGTGTCAGTGCCTTCTCCCCGCCCGCACCCCGCCTGGCCGGCTTTGCCATCCACCCCCACCTCCCCCCACATGGCCAGCATGGGATGCACACACTTCCGCCGCACAGGACTGCACAGAGATGCGGCACATGAAGGAGACGGGAGCCTCCAGCCACCATACAGGGGAGCTCCCCAGCCCCCCAGGCATCCCCACCTTGCCCCAGTCCACCTCATTGGCCTCTGGCTACCCCAGAGCTGGGCAGTCTCAGTGGCTGCCAAGGATGGTTTGGGGTTGAGCTGTGTGGTCTGAAGCTAACCCTGCCTCCCTCCACCCCGATCAAACATTAGAGGGAGCAGATGAGAGAGGGGACTTTGAGGTGGTGGACTTACTTAAAAGGTGGAGTGGGAGGGATGTGGGGTGGGGGGGGGTTGCCCGAGGGTGTAGGACATTTACCTTGGGGCATCAAAGCTGTCGTAGGAGCCCACGGTATAATGCCGGAAGAGTCTCTTTGCCTTGTCACTTCGGCTTTCTGCAGGGGGACAAAGGATGACCTTGGATCTTCTACTCTGGAAATCATGGGTTCACCCCCTGGGGTCCTGGCCCAAGCCTTCCCTTCGACCTCTCACCCCCACCAGGAGGGGGAAAGGAAGGGACATGAAAATCTAGAGTAAGTCAGGGACACTTGGGGGTTCCTCGTTACCTTGCTTTGCTTCCTGGGAGCGGTTGGCCACCTCTTCCAGGCAGTCAGAGGGGAACCAGCCAATGCGACCTTTGACCTGGCCTTCCCAGAAGCCTCCTTCCCCGATGCTAAGCACTGGATGGGGAGTGGGGACACGGAATAGAAACATTTCTGCATTTCTCTGCTGCCCACACCTCCCCTACCCCGCCTGCTCCCAACACTTGATGCACAGCCTTTCCACAATTTTCAGCACCTTGCCCAGAATCCGGCCCGAGGGCACCCCCAGGAAGGGGCGCGGGGGAAGTGTGTGTGTGCTCAGTCATGTCCGAATCTTTGCGGTCCCATGAATGGTAGCCCGCCAGGCTCCTCTGTCCTTGAGATTTCTCAGGCAAGAATACTGGAGTGGGTTGCCATTTCCTCCTCCAGGGGCTCTTCTGGACCCATGGATTGAATCTGCACTGTTTTCTGCATTGCAGGCAGATTCTTTACAGTTTGGCCATCAGGGAAGCCCCACAAGGGGGAATGGGGAGATAGTCACTCCTGCATAGTAGCTTCCTGAACACAACGGGGACACCAAGAGGCACTGGGGAGAGGGGCTGTGTCCCATGATGAGGTCCTTGCAAGTTAGGGACATATCCACAACTGGCTCTCATCGCCCTGGGTAACCAGTCACAACTCAGTTATTCCGTAATTTCCCTAAACCCCCGCTAGGCTCCTAGGTCACGTGTTATACCTCATTACTACCCCTGCCACCTCCCGCAGTCTCCTTGCCACTAAACCTTTTGTCTTCTGTTCCCAGACCCCTCCTTCTGTCTCTCTTTGCTTCCCCTGGCTCTAGATGGGAGATTAGAATCGTCTCTCCTCTCCGCTGCTCGTTACTGGAGGCCCCTGCCCATCACCTCTACTCCTTAGACATGGAGCATACACTGACCCACAATGATGGGCAGGAGGGACAGCTGATGTCTACCCAACTCTCACCGGGGCCAGGACCCTAAGAGGGGCTGTCATACTGTCATGTGCCCCATTTTACTGATGGAGAAACAGAGGCTCGGAGACACTCAGGCACGTTTGCTCCAGGTTTTGCAGCCTGGATTTGAACACTCCTGTTTTGCTACCTCTCTGTTCTAGTGCTCCGCTGCTGCTGCTCCTGATCATGACGAGAGCGAAAGGAACAAGCCCACAGCCGTCCACTTCTCCAGCACCTTTCACAGCTCTCTTCCCACTTGGCCCTTCACATCCTTCACTCGCTGTATCCTTACACCTCGGTAGGTAACAATTGATTTCTCATTTTAAAGATGAAGTTGAAGCTAGAGCAGGAAAACCTCTTGCCCAGGGGTGGCTCGAGCCATGCTAGGGTTGGGATTGGGGCCATCTGATGCTTTGCCCTGCACCGATCACCTCCTCTGAGAGGGTCTGGGGAAACCCCAGCCAGGAGATGCTCAAGGTCATGGAAGACAGCAGATGTGTGTCAAGAGGTCTGGGCTCCTGGCTGACTCTGCCTTGCCCAGCTGGATGATCTGGGAATCAATCACTTGTTCACTAAACAAATATGTATTTCGTGCCAGTCATGAGTCAGACGTCAGGCTAGGAACCGAGTAGAGCTGTTGTGTTAGTTGCTCAGTCCTGTCTGACTCTTTGTGACCCCGTGGACTGTAGCCCGCCAGGCTCCTCTGTCCANACTGTAGCCCGCCAGGCTACTCTGTCCATGGGATTCTCCAGGCAGGGATACCTGAGTGGGTTGCCCTTCTCCAGGGGATCTTCTCAACCCAGGGATCAAACCTGGGTCTCCTCCACTGCAGGAAGATTTTTTACTGTCTGAGCCACCAGGGGAGTGAATAGAGCTGTCAGACACAGCCAACGTGGTTCCTGTCCTCACGGAGCTTCCAGACTGGCAGCTGGGGGAGACATAACTCTACAAGTGACCCCATGATTGGAAAACTGAGGTCAGGGCTTGAGGGGACAAAGGAAAGGAATTTTGGAGAAAGACCAGATAGGAGTATATAAATCCGATGAGGGGATTTCTCTGGTGGTCTTAGAGGTTAAGACTTCGCCTTCCAACGCAGGGGGGTGTGGGTTCAATCCCTGGTCAAGGAGCTAAGATTCCACATAAACCATAAAACAGAAGCAATATTCTAACAAATGCAGTAAAGACTTTAAAAATGGTCCACATCAAAAAAATCTTTATAAACAAATAAATCTGATGGCATAGGGGGATCAGGAAGGCGTCTCAGAGGATGTGACATACAGGCTGAGCCTGAAGGATGCTGAGTGTGGAGGAGGCAAAGAGAGGGGAGAAAGCCTTTCCAGGCAGAAGGAACAGCATGTGCAAAGAGTTTAGGATGGAAAAGGACTTGGGGAGCTTGAGGAAGGATGAGGAGGATAAGGTCCCTGGATCCCTGCAGGGAAAGGGAAGAGTAGCCTGAGATGAGGTCGTGGGGAGGGCAGAGTGGGCAGAGGAGGGCCTGCAGGCCAGGCTGAGGCCCTAGGCTTTGATCCTGAGAGCAGAGGGAGTCTGCTGCCTTAACCGGGCAATGAAGAAGCCCAGTGATATCATGGATGTGGCTGTGCTCTGAGGCAATCAGGGAACTTTTAAGGAAAGGAAAGGATATGAAATCAGGGCAGTGCATCGGATGACTGGGCTTGACATTCAGAAAGACACACAGAAGATGCAGCCCATGGCCCTCTGCCTGTGGGAGGGTCCCTCACCTCTGACCTCAGCTTCCCTTTCTTCTTTTGGACAGACCTGACCCCCACTCCTGAGAGTCCCTTGGACTGCAAGGAGATTCAACCAGTCCATCCTAAAGGAAATCAGTCCTGAGTATTCACTGGAAGGACTGATGCTGAAGCTGAAACTCCAATACTTTGGTCACCTGATGCGAAGAACTGACTCAGTGGAAAAGACCCTGATCCTGGGAAAGGTTGAAGGCAGGAGGAGAAGGGGATGACAGAGGATGAGATGGTTGGATGGCATCACTGACTCAGTGGACGTGAGTTTGAGTAAACTCCGGGAGTTGGTGATGGACAGGGAGGCCTGGTGTGCTGCAGTCCATGGGGTTGCAAAGAGTCGGACACGACTGAGTGACGGAACTGACCGACTGAAATTATTACAACAATGTTAATTGGCTATACTCCAATACAAAATAAAAAGTTAAAAAAAAAAAAGACCCCAAAACCCAGAATGCAGTAACTCAAGTCCCATGTCACTAAATGGAGATCATACTTAATTACAGTTTCTGCCTCTCCCAGCGTGGAATCCTAAACCAGTCAATCCAGAATCCTCTGGCCAGCAGTAGTGAACCGATCTGCTCATAGAGCCCTTCTTTTCTCTAAAGAAATGTGACCTCAATACAGCTAACACACTCTCTGCAGGGATGACTTCCTTCTTTCTGCTCTCTTCTGCTTATAAAAGTCTTTCATTTTTGTACAGCTCCTGGAGTAATTTTCTTCCTGCTAGCTGGGATGATACCCATTGCATGAATCACTGAAGGAAGCCAATGACCTTTTAAATTTTACTCAATTGGGTTTTGTTCTTAGTAAGTGCCTCCCTGGGTGTTATTTCTAATCATGTATCAAAGGAAAACATAAAAACCAAAGAACTAGGTCACAGCCTGAAATGAGATTCACAGTCCTGAAAACTCCTTCATTAAGCTTCTTGGGGGCACCGATCCTGAATTAACAGGAGAGAGCATGAATTGAAACCAAGGTGAGTGAGGTTTTAAGCTTCAAAACCAAGTTAATATTATAAGGAAGCTATAAAATATGAAGACAAATGTAATAAAAACTTCAAACCTGTTCAGGGGCTGCAGAGAATTGGCTAGACTTAGTCAGGGCAAATTTTTAGGAATGAAAGATCCAGGCAGTATATTCATTAGATAAGCACCTTTCTTGTGTTTGCTCTGAATTTTTTCTCCCTAACCACAAAACTACTCTGCTCTGATGAATTTTAGTAATACATACATATTTTCTTTATTCTGTGTTTCACGTGTAGCACATCTGAAATTTTTATTGGGGCTACTTTCCCAAAATAACAGAAGTACTTTATTATGTGTCCAGATTAGTGTCTTATTGGACAGAACTTTCAACAAATGTAAAATTCAATCAATAATATCCTTCCGGTTCAAAGGATGCTTAAATGATATGTTATAAATTAATAAAGGGTAACACAGAGAGCCATTTAACTCCTGCTAGATGAGAGAATGCATTTTGCATCTACATGAAATCAGAAGACAAATTATTTTGCTTTACAATTGGAAGGTGATAGATTATAAGAGATGAAATGGACATTTTTGAACCTCTAGTTTCCAGGAAAGATCNCCCTCCCTGTCCCCCTCCAGCCGGCTCCCCCCAATGCCCCCTGCTCATCCTCCCCGCCTCCAGCCTCATCTCCAGGCTTGGAAGCCCCTCCAGTCTCCCTCCTTGCCCACCCCCACTCCGTTGAGCTTCCTCTCACCTTGCCCAGGCTGTCTGTATGTCTCTGCCTGCCTGTCCTCAGGGGCTGGAACCAGCCTTTCTCTTGGGCACCTTCCCCACCCCTGGCCCACGGAGTGACTACTGAGCTAAACTCTGGTGCATTGGAATACACGGCTGCGAGACTGGTTCACAACGCCCTCACTGCCTCGGGGTCAGGAGGGAGACCTGGTGGTCCGAGATGGGGACCAGTGCGTTGGATGGAGCGGGGTGGAGGGCAGCCGTGGCTCCCAGGAGGGGATTCAGGTGCTGGGGGTCTGCGGGACCAGGACTGGGCTCTCTCCCCTACCTGGGCCGTCCACGAGGCTGACGCTTGGCCTCCTCGGGGTGCCTCCCGCGGGATGGGGAGCGGGCCCGGGCGCCCCGGGGGCTGCTGGCACTCCGCAGGGTCCCGCTGCTGAGCTTGGCACTGGGGGCGGCGGGCTGTGCCTGGCCCTGGGGCCCTGAGGTGGGGCCGGGGGCCCCCGTGGACGAGGTCCCTGGGGCGGCGAACACCATCCAGTCGGGCAGGGCCATGCTGGTATCACTGTTGGCCCGCAGCAGCGCGGGGGGCACCGTCAGCCCTGTGCCCGGGGGTCCCCGGCGCCGGGCTGCATACTTGGGGGACTCCTGGAAGGGCACTGAGGTGGGCACGCAGGCCGGGGGCCAGGTGGGGAGACACACAGGAGGCAAGAGACAGTTGGGGGGGGAGGCACCGGGGGAGAAACAGATGAGAAAGAGTGGGGCTCCTGGACCCCAACCCCTCCCGCTGCCCAGGTGCTTGCGGTCCTCTAAGGTTTATTTGGTCCCATCGTGGCCCCCAGATCAGGTCTGCTGACTCCCCATCCCACCATGCACCACCCCTCCTGGCAAGGAGCCCAACTTCTCCCCTTAGCTTGCTCACCCACGTCCTGTTCTCGATGGTTTCGGATCAGCTCCCCAAGTTCAAAATTCCCAGCGATCACTGCCACCTAGTGTGAGGGGGTAAGGGGGGCCCAGGTAGGAGAGAGAGAGAAAAACAAACAGGAAAAACTGTGAGGTCTCCAGCCAGCTGCCCTGCACCCCCCAACCTTCACCCCAGCAAGTCCAGCCTCCCTCTTCTCTGAGACCGCCTGCCTCCCTCCCAGCTCCCCAGACTTTACCCCTCTGAGTTCTTCATGCCTCCCCCAACCCGCCCCAACAGACCTGGAAGGGGGTCTGTCCACTGTTATTCTTGACATCCTTGTTGGCCCCTCGATAGAGAAGGATCCTAGCACACGTCTCCTGGTGGGCAGTGGCACGGGGTGAAAGGAAAGAGAAAAACAGTTAAGGCCACCGCGAGCAGACACAGACACTGCGCTAAGAGCCTTTGGAACCATCTGGTGGAAACCCACCCTGCTCCGGACAGCAGCCACTGGCTCTTTAAACGTAGCCAGTCCACACTGAGAGGTGCTGTGTATACAAAATGCACACTGGCTTTCAAGGACTTGAAAAATGTAGTTTAAATCTCTCTAGTAGTTTTTATGGGGGCTTCTCTGGTGGCGCAGTGGTAAAGAATCTGCCTGCCAATGAAGGAGATGCAGGAGATGTGAGTTCGATCCTTGGGTTGGGAAGATCCCCAGGAGGAAGAAATAGCAACCCACTCCAGTATTCTTGTCTGGAGAGCCCCATGGTCAGAGGAACCTGGTGGGCTACAGTCCGTGGGATACAAGAGTTGGACATGTCTGAGCATAGCATAGGTTTCCCTGGTGGCTCACTCAGTAAAGAATCTGCCTGCAACGTGGGAGACCAGGTTCAGTCCCTGGGTCGGGAAGATCCCCCGGAGAAAGAAATGGCAACCCACTCCAGTATTCTTGCCTGGAGAATCCCATGGACAGAGGAGCCTGGTGGGCTACAGACAATGGGGTCACAAAGGGTCGGGCATGACTGAGTGACTAACACTTAAGCACAGCACAACAGTTTTTATACTGATTACTTGAAAGGATAGTATTTTTGAAACAAAATATGCTACTAAAATTAATGTCACCTGTTTGTTTTTTCCTTTTATTAAAAAAGTGTCTCCTGGGATACTTAAAATTGCATGTGACTTGGGTTATAGTGTATTGGATGGCTACTAACCTAAACCAGGGTTTTCTTATTATTACTATTTTACTGAAGTATAGTTGATATACAACGTTGGGTTAATTACTGCTGTACAGCAAAGTGAATCTGTTATACACACATACACACATATTTATATCATTTTTTGAAATTATTCCTTTCCATTACAGTTTGCCTGCATGTGTGCCAAATCGCTTCAGTTGTGTCTGACTCTTTGTGACTCCACGGACTGTAGCCCGCCAGGCTCCTCTGTCCATGGAGATTCTCCAGGCAAGAACACTGGAGTGGGTTGCCATGCCCTCCTCCAGGGGATCTTCCCGACCCAGGGATCAAACCCACGTCTCTTAGGTCTCCTGCATTGGCAGGCGGGTTCTTTACCACTAGTGCCGCCTGGGAAGCCCGTTTGATGGTTTATCATAGGAGACTATAGCTATCTGAGCTCTGCAGTAGGACTTTGTTGTTTATCCATTCTATAGATGATAGCCTGCATCTGCTCGCCCCAACCTCCCAATCAGGGGCTTTCATCATTGGCACTACTGACACTTAGGGTCCAGACATGTCTCTGTAGCGGGGCCACCCTGAGCATTGCAGGCCACCCTGAGCATTGCAGGCCACCCTGTGCATTGCAGGCCACCCTGTGTGTGCGTTGCATTGAGCAGCATTCTCTGGTCTCGGCCACTAGATGCCAGTGGCACTCCCTCCTCAGTGGTGACACCGAAGAACATCCACAGGCACTGCCAAATGTCCCCTAGGGTGCGGGAGCATCCGGCTTGAGAGCCACCAAGTCAGACCTCTTGGGGTGGGGGACTTACTATGTTGCATGTCAGAGTGCCTTAGAGGCGGTAGCCACTGACTGGCCCAACAATTCCGTAAGATGGAAATGACTGTCCTCATTTTACAGATGAGGAAACTGAGGCTTCAAAGGGAGCCGGTGACGATCAGCCCTCGGATTCGAGCCCAGGTGTGTCTGACTCCTGAGCCCTTAACTTGAATGCTCTGCTAGGCCCGGAAGGAAGGAGGCAGAAGGCAGTGGGGGCCAGGGCTGGATGGTCGAGGGGGTGGGAGACAATGCCATCCAAGTCCAGATCGATTCCTTGCCAGTGTCAGTCACAACAGACCCAACGTCCTTGCCCTGGTCTGGGAGGCCCCCCACTGATCTGCCTGCCCTGCCACCCCCAGCCCCAGCCTCATCGACCTCATCTGCTACCATCTTTCCTCACTCCCTGCTCCACAGGCACACTGGCCTCCCTTCTCTGGCAGGCAGGCTCGTGCCCCAGGGCCTTTGCACCCGCAGCTTCCTCGACTTGGGAGTCTCTGCCCCTAGCTCTCCACACAGCTCATTTCCTCACTTGATTCACATTTTTGCACAGAGGCCAATTCTTCAGATAAGGCCCCTCTGATGACCTTGTCAAAAATAAACCCCTGACCTGTTCCTGGCTTTATGTTAATTTATATGATACCTGCTGTGTGCTGGGCATTCTTCTAAGTCAGAGTTAACTCATTTTCCTTATAATACTGCCTCTCTGAAATTACATTTCGATTTTATTCATCTCCAGCATCTCTCCCCCACTCCATTGTCTATTTTGGAGAGGCAAGGTTTTGTCTGTGGCACCCACGGCCTGGCATGGTGCCTGGCCCATAGAACCGTTCAAAAATGGTTGCTGGATGAGGGGAGCCCTCCTCCTCTGTCTTGGCCTGGCCAAACCCAACCTGGCCTCCAGCTCAGCTCCACTCCAAATCCCCCAGATGCCAGTCTAACCAGCATTCACCAGACACTTCCTCGGTCTCACCCTCTTCACGTGACAGACCCATCAAGGATGCTTGTACGGGTCCCTCCTACAGGACAGGCTCAGAGAAGGCAAATCTGTAGCCAAGGTCACACAGCCAGTCAGTGGGGCAGCTGGGATGCAAACCAAGCTTTCTGATCCTAGCGCTCATCTGTCTACTGTGAAAGCACAACTCTGATCGCCCAAGTCCGATGGCTCCCTGGTTAGATGGCAAAGTTAGCCTGGTTCGTTTTCCGGGCGGGTTTGTGAGTGTGAGTGTGTGTCCCTGTGTGCACATGCTGTCTCCCCGACTCGACGATAAATCGGTGCCGCGTGTGTTTTTGCATATCTGCCTGCCGCCACCGTCACTGTGCCTAGCCCAGGCCCAGGAGCTTCTCTTTTATCTCAACCAGCAGTTCGCTCCACCCCTGAGCACCCCGTATGTACTGGAGCGCTAGCACTCATCCCACTGGATTGCAGTGATTCGTCTACACATCTGCCTCTTTGCCAGACTGTGAACTACCCCCCCACCCCGCCCTCCCGAGGACGGGCGTCATACTGTGTCTGATTCATCCTACATCCGGGCACACAATAGGTGCTCAGGAAATGGGCCTAGAAAGGATGAGGATGTGCAGTTGAGTCATGCAAAAGTCATTTGTTCAAATCATTCATTCATTCCTGGAGTCATTCAATCTATCTCGAAGCAAATACCTGTTGAGTGTTCTGAGCTGGATGCTGTGTGTGGTCTTGGCGTGGTATTCAAGGTATCTAATCCATCATTCATTCATTCACTCTCACTCATTCAACAAAGATGCATCTAAGCCTACTATATGCCGCGGCCTTGGGACAGAGCGCTTGATCAGACTTAAGCCCCACCCCTGAGGAGCTCACAACCCGGACATGGCCCTGACCCTTACCACCAGAGGCTAGATGGGCTGGCCAGGAGACCAGAGGGGCAGAGAGTGAGCAAATCTTTCAGACCCAGCTCTGGGCCTTGGGAAGCTTAAAGTCTGGGAGGGAAGAGGAGTGGAGAGAAAGTCAGAGAAGAACTTGTGTTTGTCAAGCATCTATTTGCTAAGCACCATGCTAAGAGTGAGCCAAACATTCACACCCTTGATCCTTTTTGAGGTAGAGGTTACTGACCCATTTTACAGATGAGAAAGTAGAAGCTCAAGGAGAGGGAAATGGCTGACTCATCTGACCCACTCGGAGTAACTGTTCCCTCTCTATATGACCCTATGGACTGTAGCCCACGAGGCTCCTCTGTCCATGGGATTCTCCAGGCAAGAATACTGGAGCAGGTTGCCATGCCCTCCTCCAGCCAGCCTTCCTGACCCAGGGATCAAACCTTCATCTCTTGCTTGGCAGGTGGATTCTTTACCACTAGCGCCACCTGAGAAGCCTCTCTCTATCTATACACTACATTTTCCCTTTCAAATTGCCGGTATGGTTTCTGTCTCCTGACCAGATCCTGACTGATAACAGTAATGATAATGATAATAATCATTATTATTAGCATAGCTGCCTCCTAGGGATGAGCACTTATCACGCATGATCTTTCATCCCCTTCAATCAGCTGCTGTTATCCTGACTTCAGGGAGCCGGATGGAACCTCAGAGAGGGGAGGGGACTTGTTCGGGGTGCCCTGGCCTGCGTGCTGGCTGTGGGGTCAGAAAATCCGGAATGAGGCCCACATGGAGAGCGGGAGAGACAGACGCACTGGGGAGGGGAAGTACAGGCAATTTGACAAACACTGCGTTCTCCCTGCTCGGGCGGGCGCCGAGCGAGCAGACTGCTTGCTGCCACAAGGCGGCACGTGGCTACCTGCCACATCCTGGCACTGCACATTCTGATGAGGGGGGCTGGGGCTGTTCTGGGAGACTTCCTGGAGGAGGGGGGAAGAGGCTGATGGATCAGCCGCAGCATGCCAGGCCCTGGCCTCGTAAGACCTGAGGCAACCATCTAAGGGCAGGGAGACCCTCCAAGGGCAGAGAGCCTTGGGAAGCAGGTGTTGAGACTGGGGCTTCGGGGACTGGGCTGATCTGCCCAGGCTCCTACAGTGCACTGGTGACAAACCAGCTGGGGTCATCAGGCTAAAAGCCCCAGCTTTTATCAACCCAACCAGCCATGACAGCACAGCTGCAGTGGGTATTCAGCTCTTCACTGCTCACCTCCATTCAGAGCTCTTGAGCTGGGGACCATCCACCCAGCCCTGAATCTCTACAACTTGCAACACACTCTTGTCCCCCTTGGGGACTGTCCCTTGTCCCCTGCAGTAGGTGCTCCTGTGGCAGCTGAATGGAGACCCATTAGACATAGGACCCTTGGGGATTAACATACACACTGCATGCTGGCTGTGGGGTCAGAAAATCCGGAATGAGGCCCACATGGAGAGCGGGAGAGACAGACGCACTGGGGAGGGGAAGTACAGGCAATTTGACAAACACTGCGTTCTCCCTGCTCGGGCGGGCGCCGAGCGAGCAGACTGCTTGCTGCCACAAGGCGGCACGTGGCTACCTGCCACATCCTGGCACTGCACATTCTGATGAGGGGGGCTGGGGCTGTTCTGGGAGACTTCCTGGAGGAGGGGGGAAGAGGCTGATGGATCAGCCGCAGCATGCCAGGCCCTGGCCTCGTAAGACCTGAGGCAACCATCTAAGGGCAGGGAGACCCTCCAAGGGCAGAGAGCCTTGGGAAGCAGGTGTTGAGACTGGGGCTTCGGGGACTGGGCTGATCTGCCCAGGCTCCTACAGTGCACTGGTGACAAACCAGCTGGGGTCATCAGGCTAAAAGCCCCAGCTTTTATCAACCCAACCAGCCATGACAGCACAGCTGCAGTGGGTATTCAGCTCTTCACTGCTCACCTCCATTCAGAGCTCTTGAGCTGGGGACCATCCACCCAGCCCTGAATCTCTACAACTTGCAACACACTCTTGTCCCACTTGGGGACTGTCCCTTGTCCCCTGCAGTAGGTGCTCCTGTGGCAGCTGAATGGAGACCCATTAGACATAGGACCCTTGGGGATTAACATACACACTGCATGCGTGCATGCATGTGAAGTCACTTCAGTCACGTCCGACTCTTTGCAACCCCATGGACTGTAGCCCGCCAGGCTCCTCTGTCCATGGTATTCTCCAGGCAAGAATACTGGAGTGAGTGGCCATGCCTTTCTTCAGGGGATCTTCCCAACCCAACGACTGTACCTGCATCTCTTATTTCTCCTGCTTTGGCAGGTGGGTTCTTCACCACCAGTGCTACCTGGGAAGCCCAACATATACACACTACTATATATAAAATAGATAATCGACAAGGACCCACTGTATAGCACAGGGAACTCTACTGAATAGTCTGTAATAACCTATATGGGAAAAGCACCTGAAAAAGAATGGATATATATTTATATATAATTGAATCACTTTGCTATACACCTGAAACTAACACAACGCTGTAAATCACGTATACTCCAATATAATATAAAAATGTTTTAAAAAGGAGGACTTCCCCGGTGGTCTAGCGGTTAAGAAGGTGCCTGCCAATTCAGCGGACACGGGTTCGATCCCTGGTCCGGGAAGATCCCACATGCTGTGGAGCAATGAAGCCCGTGTGCCGAAACTACTGAGCCTGTGCTCTAGAGCCCGTTCTCCACAAGTAAAGTCCCATGCACAGCAATGAAGACCCAGCACAGCCAAAAACAAATAAATAAATGAATAAATATATCTTAAAATTTTTTTAAAGAAAAGCAATAGGACCTTTGTAGTTTCCTATATTTCCAGGAACAACCCTGACCTCTTCCCTCTGGATTTTTCGGCACAGGCTGTGCCCTCTGCCGGGGATGCCCCTCTGCCCTCTTCTACATGACCACCTGTTGCTCTTCTTAGCTCTGATGGCACACCCTCCTGAGAACCACCTCCATTGACCCAGCGCTAAGGCCAAGCCCAGATGTGCACCTCCACGGAGACCTGGATTCCTGGTGACCTACCTCTGAATATTTGGGATCACACTGTCAGGGTGTGTCCCTTGATGGGAGGTTGTCTGTCTTGCTCACTACTGTTCCCTCAGCCCCTGGCTCTGAGCCTGACCCAGGGAAGGAGCTCAGGAAACAGCTTTTGAATGAATGAATGAATGAACGAATGAATGAATGAATGAAATAGTGGAAGAGCAGGGGCGGGGGTTGGCACCAGGGGGCTGGGAGGCTGGACCCAGGAGGAGAGCAGACCTTATTGTAGAGGGCACAGATGTGCAGGGCCGTGTTCCCCGAGGCGTTCTGGGCACCAGGCTCAGCTCCATAGAAAAGCAGATGTTCCAGATGCTGAGAATGACCCCGCTGGCAGGCCTGGAAAGGACCGGGGGTGAAGAGCCGGGTCAGACCCACTTGACCACAGCGTCTGTCTCTCTCCTCCACCTGGAGGTCAGGCAGCCCTGCATCCGCCACTCCCCCTGCCTTCTCCTCTGAGGCCCCATTCTCGCTTAGGGACCCACGCTGTCAACATCACCAGTCATTGCAAGGCCCAGGGCTCCAGGCTGACTCCTTAGAGTCCCGGTGGTGACAACTCTGTCCTTCCTCTTTGGGGACCATGCTACTCCCACCTCCATCCCCCGTGAGGACCCCAGCATCCACAGCCCTAGGTCCTTGGACTAGGGTCCCTGATCCCTGCCCACCCGCGGGGCCCATGCGCTGCCCACGCCACCCCAACCCCTCTAGGCCGTGAAGGAGCACCTGATGAATCTCCTGCCAGCCGTTCTCATCAGCTATGCCCAGCTGGGCCCTGTTGTACAGGAGCAGCTCACAGCAGCGGGGGTCACCCCCCACCATAGCCGTGTGGAACAGGGGAGTCAGCCCTCGGCGGTCCTTGTAGTTGGGGGAGCCCCCAAGATCCAGGAGTGCCTAGGAAAGGTTAAAAAAAAAAAAGATGACAATCACACAAGTACTGGCTCGTTATCAAGGGCCAGTTGGACAAAGAGACCTGGGTAACCCACACGGGGTCAGAGCCAGAGCTGATGCTGCCATGATGCCCTTGAGTGACCTTGAGGCTGGCCCTTGCCCTCTCGGGGCCTCTCTCATCCCTGTGAACAACGGAGGGACTGGGGCGATGCCTCCAGAGGACCCCTCCCTCCCACTCTGAAATCCTGCCCAGCCTTCCACCATGAGCCATGAGGCATGAGCCACTGAAGGCGCATAATGCCTCAGTGCCCACCTACTCAACAGGCTGGTGTGGGGAACCAATCAGAGGAGGGCGCCTGGATGCAGGAGGGCCCCTGGCTGAGTGGGAGGTGTGGTGAGGTCCGGGATCTCAAGAGGCGGAGAAAGCGGTCTGGGAGGGGGCAGGCTCGGGTCAAGGAGACTCGGCTCAGCCTCGCTGGGACAAGGGCCTGGGGTGGGGGCAGGCAGTGGTCCCCCTCGAGACACGGATCTGGGCCTGGAAGACTGGCAGCTTCGAGCGTGTGAGGAGTGTTGGCGGCGCCAGCGCCGCGCGAACAGTCAGGAGTGGCGCAGTCCAACAGCACATTTCCAACATTTGCGGCGATGGAAATAGTTACAACCGCACGATCCAACATGGCAGCCGCGTGGGGGGCTACCGAGCCGCTGGAAGGTGGCTAGTAAGCCTGAGAATCGGAAGTTTTAATTTTAGTTCATTTTCATCTATTTAAAGCTAAACAGCCCCCTTCCCCCGCCCATGGCTAGTGGCTGCTGGATTGAGCAAGCGCAGGCCTGGGAGGTAGGGGCTGGGCGTGAGCAGGAGTGGGGTTTGGGGGTATGTGTGTATGTGTAAAGTCGCTTCAGTCCTGTCTGACTCTTTGCGACCCGTGGATTTAGCCGCCAGGCTCCTCTGTCCGTGGGGATTCTCCAGGCAAGAATGCTGGAGTGGGTTGCCATTTCCTTTTCCAGGGGAACCTTCCCGACCCAGGGATGGAACCCACATCTTTTATGTCTCCTGCCTTGGCAGGAGGATTCTTTACCATTAGAGGAACCTGGGAAGCAGGTGGCAGAAGGGGTTTGGGGGAAGGGGGGGTGCGTGAAGAGGGTCTGTCAATTCCAGGGCTGTGTGCAGACCTTTGTGACTGGTGTCTGACTGCCTTCAGGGTTCTTCAGGAAAGGATTGGAGGAGGGGGACGGCCGGTTAGGCTGGATCATCTATGAGTTGTTGTGTTTACCAACAACTTCCGGGGCACTCTATCCTGATCTATGGATGAAGACGCATCAAGTGCCCTTGGGGAGGGGGAGAGGAAGACCATTTAAAAATAAGATTGGGTAAGCTGACTCCATGAATGTATGCGTGCATGCTCAATTGTTCAGTGGTATCCAACTCTTTTGGGACCGTATGGACTGCGGTCCACCAGGCTCCACTATCCATGGAATTTTCCAGGCAGGAATACTGGAGTGGGTGCCACTTCCTTCTCCAGGGAATCTTCCCAACCCAAGGATTGAACCCAAGTCTCCTTCACTGCAGGAGGATTCTTTTCCTCTGAGCCACCTGGGAAGCCTCCATGTATATACACTGAGGGTGTACGAGGTTCATCTGCTTGTAAAGGCACATTTTAGGCACTATACTGGGACAGTAAGGAGATCAAACCAGTTAATCCTAAAGGAAATTAATCCTGAATATTCATTGGAAGGACTGATGCTGAAGCTGAAGCTCCAATACTTTGGTCACCTGATGCAAAGAGCTGACTCATTGGAAAAGATCCTGATGCTGGGAAAGATTAAGGGCAGGAGAAGAAGGGGGCGACAGGATGAGATGGTTGGATGGCATCACCGACGCAATGGACATGAGTTTGAGCAAACTCTGGGAGATAATGAAGGACAGGGAGCCTGGCGTGCTGCCGTCGTCCATGGGTTGCAAGGAGTTAGACACGATTGAGCAGCTGAACAACATCTGGAGGAGAGGGCTGTATTTCAGGTGAGTGGAGGTGGGGTACTGGGACTGTGAGCTGTAGGTTGAGAAGAGTGAATGGAAGGGCTGAGTTGGGAAGTGGGAGGACTAGTGTCTGAGGGAGCAGATGGAGGGACAGTGTCTGGGGGCACTGTGGGGAGCTCATTCTGTATTTTAAAGGGCACCAGGGACTTCCCTGGTGGTCTGGTGGTTAAGACCCTGCACGTCCAGTGCAGGGGGCACGGGATCAATCCCTGGTCGGGGAACTAAGATCCCACATGCCGTGCCATGCGGCCCAAAAATAAAAAAATAAAGGGCACCAGCAAGAGTCTACATCACGGGGAGACAGAGGTAGTTGTCGGCTGCTGGCTCAGTGGGGCTGGAGAAGTTCTGGGTGTCAGGAAGTTGACACGATCTACCTGTGGACAGGGCAAGGGTCCGTGTGACCATCAACTATAGCTGATCACCAGCCTTGAGCTGGGGAGGGTGGGGGCTCATGGATGTTCCAGGAGGGTCTTGGGTGCAGTCAGAGGAGTGACTGTGGAGGAGGGAGGTGGACAGAGCGGCTGGGGGGATTGGCTGGACGCAGTCTGGGCGAGGAACACGGTCACTCGGGGGTGTCTCTGGGCTCTGGGGAGGGTCCCAGGAAGATCTGAAACCTCACCGTCAGAGCGAGGCAGTGGCGGGCACAGGCAGCCTTGTGTAGCGCGGTCATGCCATCCCGGGCCCGGAAGTCGATGTGTGCCCCGCCCAGGCACAGGGTTCGAATCACCTCTACGGAGCCTTCGGTCTGGGCAGCCAGCGTCAGGGGGGTCTCTGGGAGGCAGGGGGAAAGGCCAGTCACGTGCAGCCCCTGGGCCTTGTGGTCCCCGACTCCCCAGCCCTCCCAAAGCACCCCGTCCCGCCGCCTGCTCCCTACCTCCTGAATCCGAGTCGTGATAATTGGGGTCCAGCCCCTTGTCCAGCAGCCGTGCCACCTTATCGGATGTCCCGAGCTGCACGTACTCCAGGAACTTCTTCAACCCCGTCTGAGCCACAGATGAGAGAGAGAGAGAGAGGCGGTCAGGGAGGAAGGGGGCAAAGCTGGGTTTGGAGCAGCGCCGTCCAGTGGAATCACACAGTGAGCCACACATGCCATCGAAAAGTCCCTAGTAGCCACCACTTTTTTAAAGGAAGAAGACCTTCCAATTATATTGAAATTCACTTTGACGACTTATCTATTTCTAGTCTATCCTATATAGCCACAATATTACTGATTCAACAAGTAATCCACGTGAAATTTATTCCTGAGATACTTTCAGGGGTACTGAGTCTTTGAGATTGGGTGTATATTTCACACTCACAGTGAGGCTCAGTTTGGACCTGGTACACTGCAGGTACCCGGGGGGCTGTATGTGGCTGGTGGCTCCCGCAGATGGTACAGGTCTGGATGGATGGACTGCTCGGAGGAGGACAGAGACAAGTGGATGGTGGGGTGGGGGTGAGGATGAGAAGCAGCCAGGGAGCTTTCCTCCCAAGTGTCAAGGATCGTTCACTTCACTTCTGAACGAAGCAGCCCCCTGACTTAGTCCCAGCTTTCAGGGGACCAGAGGAGACGCAGGGGACATACAGTCTGAGGACTGGAGGGCAAGGTGTGTGAGTGCATACTTGGGCAGTAAGTTGCATCCAACTCTTTGCGACCCTATGGACAGTAGCCCAGCAGGCTCCTCTGTCTATGGGGTTCTCCAGGCAAGAACACTGGAGTGGGTTGCCATTTCCTCCTCCAGGGGATCTTCCCGACCCAGGGATCAAACNGGTGCATTTGAGGTTGTCCCAAATACGACACAGCATCCCAAGTTAAGTGGGGGATGCTGGCAGAAGAAAAGGAGGTTTGGAGGGTTGTCAGGAAGAGGTAGGAGAGAAAGTGGTTAGGGAAGGGGGCTCCAGGTTGGGGGTGGTATAAGTACCAGCAGGGTTCTCTCACCTTCGTGTGCAACTTGGCCAGCTGCTTCTCATCCAGGTTGGTCTGCTTGTAAACACGGGTCTTGTATCGGAACTGAGGCCAGGAGTGGGGTGACGGGAGAGACAAAAGACTCGGAGTCAGGGGTCTGGACCTCTTCTGAGCCAGGAAAGAGTCAGTGCAGGGTCAGGATGAAAAATAGCCCCCGAGTCTCGGCTGGGTGGACAGAGGGCTGCTGGACCACTGCGGACCTGTGGACTGCATCCCCTAAGGTGTCTGGACCCGCAGGGAATGTTCCAGAATAACCACTGTCATTAGGAGCCATTTCCCACTTTGATAGGCCAGGGGAGACTTGGGGCTGGGAAATGACTCATGCAAGGCCACTCTGCTACCGGTCAGAGGCAGGAATGCCATGCTAATTTGAACTCGGGCCTCCCTGACTCTGATTCTTAAGTGAAAGTGTTCAGTCACTCAGTCGTGTCCGACTCTTTGTGACCCCAACAGACTATAGCCCGCCAGGCTCCTCAGTCAATGGAATTCTCCAGGCAAGAATACTGGAGTGGGTGGCCATTCCCTTCTCCAGGAGATCTTCCCAACCCAGGGGTGTCTCCTGCATTGAAGGTGGGTTCTGTACCCTCTGAGCCACCAGGGAAGCCCCAGGATTCTTAGGGTGCCCTTTATATCCAGAAGAGCCCACGGGCTTTCCCTCGCTGAGGTCTGGGCTGGGTGAAGAAACGGGGAGCGGGCCGATGCCTGCTCGCATCTGTGAAGGGGCTGGGAAGGCTGTGGGGGATCTCACCTCCAGGTAGGGCACCCCCTTCTCGAAGGACTGGGGGTACTCCCGCAGCAGCCGCTCTTCCTCCAGGAAGTTGGCGTCCCGGCCCGAGGTGGCTGGCTGGAACAGGCCATAGTTGAGCACGTCCTGGAGGCTCTCGCTCAGGGCGCAGAGCACCTGCTGCTTGGCGGTCCAGATGGTGGCATCCGGGTTGAAGCGCAGGCATTTCTGGTGGGGGAGGCACCAGGAGAGAGAGAAGGGGCCTGAGCAGGTCTGCGGAGGGCTGTGGGTGATTCCCGGGACAGAGGAGGGCTGGGGGGAAACCCATGGGGGTCTGGCAGTGGGGGCCATGTGTGAGGTCATCCAGAACCAGAGGCCCCATTCCCTTCCCCGCTCCCCGTGCAGACTCTGGTGGTCCCTATCTCCCGCCCCCCATCCGCCAGCCAGCGGGCTGTGGCTCACTGTCTGGTGGAGGTCAGGGATGCCGATCCTAAAAACCATCATGCTGAAGTGGGCGTCGTCTGGGACGGACATGGAGCGGCCCTGGAGGCCTCGGATGGAGGCCAGGCTACCAGCTGCACCGCTGCCCCGGCCCCGGGTCCCCCGGGGGCCTCTCCCGGGCCCGTCTGGGGAGCTGTCGGACTCTGAGCCCCCCTCGGGACACTCGCTGGCACTGTGGCGTTCCTCGTCCTCGCTTGACGCGGGGCTGTGGGTCATCGTGGGGCCACGGGGCGACGGGGGACGGCAGCATCACAGGCGGCTGGCGGGGGAGGGGGCGGGGGTGGCGGTCAGACCAGGAGCCCGGGCTCTGAGGCCACGGGTGCACTCAGTGGACAAACACGGTCCAGGCCAGTGGCTCCAAGCCGCCCGAGGGAGGCCGGCAGGAGGCTGGACACACCCCCCAGACACTCCTACCGCCTCCAAGCTCTCTCCCGAGCTCTCTCTCTCTCTCTCTCTCTCTCTCTCTCTCTCTCTCTCCCGGGCACACACACCCCCCCAGCCTTGCCATGCTGCCTGCACGTGTCTCCTTCCCTGCCCTTGGCCTTGCTTGCGGCCCCCCGCCCCTCCTGCGCCCCACTTTGCCGCTGACCCAGCGCGCCGGTGTCCCAGAAACCGCAGAATCACCGCGGGAGCCGCTGGCCCACTTTGCCAGGCCAGGGATAATGCAGCTAAAATTAGCCCAGGACAGACAGGTGGGCGACCCACCGGCACCCTGCCCCCCTGGCCCCAGCCTGGCCCCTCCTCACCCAAGGTCCTCCCCGCCTTCTGCTCCCGGGATGACCGCGAGGAGGCTGAGATGTAGTAAGGGGGAGAGGGAGGTGCCCTGAGCCTAGGGTGGAGCCGGTGACTTCACTGAAGTGTGGCTGACCGCGTGTGTGCGGAGGGCTGCTGGAGAGCCAGCATCCCAGGGGGCAGGGGCACCCGGCTGGGGGAGTCACGGGGCAGAGAGTACCACGCATGAGGTGTCCCCTGGGGGAACCACAAGAGGTGGCCTATGCAACTTTCCAGGAGGCATCTTGAGAGGGAGGGTGGGTGGGTGGGGAGACTGGCCCTGGGGGGGCTGTCTGGGTGACAGCCTTGCCGTGGCCTGGGTGGGTGTAGGGTGGTGGTAGGTGACCTGCGGGTGTGTCTGAGGCCTGGTGCTGGCTGGGTGGGAGGAATGGCATAGACTGGTCCTGGGGGCTCCACTCTGGGGGCTGGGGGCTGGGGGGGAGGCTAAGGAGTGCGATGAGAGTCTGGGGAGCGGGGGTGAGATCCCCACTATTCTTCAGATCCCACTATTCGTCGCCCCTGAATTGATCTTATAAGGGTGAGTCCAGATGGGGCCCTTCTTCTCCGTTTTCTCCCCCCCTCCCACCTCAGCACCGGAAACCAGAATGTCTGGTCTGGTCCCTCCCCCCCACACCAGGCCCGGCTCCTGCACGTTGCCATGGAGATGGGAAGCAGTGGAGGGTACTGCTGACTTTGGGGGAGTGGGGATGGGCTGGGGGGGGGTTGGGGAGAGAAGACAAAATGTATGC